TGAAATTTCACATGTGAAAGGTTTCACATGAAATTAAAAATTACAATGAAATTTCACATGTGAAAGGATTCACATGAAATTGAAAATGGGGTTGGGGGGATTTGAGGGGCGAACTCATATTTTTTGGGGGGGGCAAGATAGAATTGTTAAATAGGTAGTGCTATTTGCCCATGCCGTTGTCATAGGACTTCCCCCCTCAAGGAGATTCGCCCCCCTCCCCAACCATAGGAATATCGACCCCCTTTAGGATATTCGCCCCCATATATGCGATGTGGTTTATTCAAATTTCGTGATACGTTCATCTTATTAGTGCCTTACACGTTTGAGAATTTAACTCTGCAAAACTAAAGCTTTTTTGTCTTTTTTGAAACGTATTATTGGAGTATTGGCAAGTTTTACCATTCAGAGATTTACAAATTAATATTGAAACTCGGTAAAAACAGTATTATACGCGCATTCACTAATGACTAATGAGTAATGAGAACTTATAAAGCATACATTTTCCGATAACGACAAAACGCATGTGTAGCCATAGCTCCGGATATAGGATTTTACGGACCGCTTGTCAACCGATCAGAATAGAGAATTTTATAATATATATATATATATATATATATATATATATATTCCATTAATAAGGAAATAAGCACAACTATACTTACCTTACAAATGTTGGAAATAATTCTGCACTCCAAATATAAATTCCAGAGAATGCCATATTAATGAAAAACTTGGCCACAATAGCTAGAAATATTCGCCCACCAGTATAGCCTAAATGGATTGGAAAGGGTGTTAATTGCAGAGATGGCTTGCAAAATATACAGTATGTAAACTCAACACTTAATCTTATTGCATAAGTACAAATTTTGTCCCCGGGCCAACGGCGCAAAGCGCCGTTGCGGGTGTATGCCCGGAGCGAGGGAAAAGCCGCTGCTAGCGGTAGAACAGGTAGGAAAATTGTCTGAGCATGCGCGAAAACTGCGCGCGTATTCTAGATGCGTGTGTTTCTGAAAACTGCGCGCGTATTCTTTATACGTGTGTTTCCACCAATGGTTCCACTTCGTTGATTTGGTAACAAAAACAACATGAACGAAGCCTTGGAAAGGCAATTTTGCAGCTGCTGTTTGGGGCCACAAAGCACCACAATTGGACTGACTGGAAATATATGTTGCAGTAAAAAACGCCGTAACAAAACGTAAACAATTATAATATCGGTTATTTCAGTGCAAAACAAAACAGGGCAAAATAATAAATTCAAAATGTCAGCTTCAATAAAATGCGAAATTCAAACCAAATATATTAACACTTCTACATTTTTTACAAAGCCAAAAATTTAACACCGACTTGAAAATGCTTTCAAATTTAGTTTGAAAATAGCGAAACGTTGGTGGCACAACCTGCATGTAACATGACACAATTCGTGTTTACAGAATGTTGAATGAGCAAAAATACTGTCTGAAAAGAATGCAAAATTTATGCTTTGACAAAAGCCATAGACTATAGTATTATAGCAAAACACAGAATATATAGCTAGCTAATGTTTAACTTGATGCTCATTTTCTGGGTAGCCTTCATCGTACAAATTACCCTTGCACATGAATTATTTATTATTTTTAGCATAGATAATAAAATAAATGGATAGGAAACTAGCTGACGTGACCTAATGTTTTCAATGGGCTGATGGCGTGGTTGGATGTCCAAACCTAGTTGCAAACCAAATTCTCAAAAACGGCATGTTTAGCAATAATACAGCTAAACATTTTAGTCAAAGAGCAAATAAATATAACCACGCCATTCTACGATGAAAACTCTAAGTATTCCCAGTCAATTTTAGCAAATATTTCAAGCACTAAACAGTGAAAAATATATCGCACATTTCGTTAAAATTTGTGACGCCAATTTCGTAGCTACAAATGTAAAAAATACAAAACAAAGACGAAAAACATTTACCTTGAATACTTTGTCGTGGCTTAGGCATGTTTTTGAAACAATTAGACCAGTTTATGCTTCAATATCACCTTTTTAAAGTGGAAAATATAGCAAAACAACAAAAATGCCGAGAACTTTGGTAATATTCGCAATACGCGTGACGACACGTTTTTCAAAAAGGATGAGGTCAATGACGTCAGGAAGTTTCCTATCCAGTTATTTTACAATCCATGTTTTTAGTAAGCCTATTTTAACAGATTAACTTCTTCAGGCAATAAGCATGAGCCTGCTATCAAAGAAGGACCTGTAACTACAGTAAGTTAAGATCAGTGAAGGACCTGTAACTACAGTAAGTTAAGAAAAGTCTATATAGCAGTTAGACTACTGTCACTACCTAAAATCTATAGAGTAAAATGACTGATACTTATTAAATAGATAAAAAAGTTTAAGTTGTAGCAGTTTTTGTTTAAAATTCACAAGGGAAGGCTCATTCCTGATTTCCTCGCCCAATGAGTTAAACAGTAGAGCTCCTTTCACTGAAAATGAATAACTAAATGCGACTTGTTGTTGCGAGTGTTTATTCCGTGGTTGAAATGGTGAAAGTTCACGGGGGGAATTTGAATCGAGTGAGTACAGTGATTTGAATACGGCTATCACAACACGTCTTTTACGGCAGGTGACCTACCTCCTCCGCAGGCCCTTTTCCGGGCAAATTTGCGGGCGGTTCCTAAGCGCCTGCGGAGGAGGTAGGCAGGTGACAACAACATCGTGTAAGCAATTTTTCGGACCAATTATTTTCGCTGCTGTATCTTGCAATCTCTGTAATTTAGAATTAGCTGAGCTACTGAGACCGCATGCAGTCGGTATACACAGCATAGCAGTAAAACACTTTGGATTGATCATGGCTTGATAAATTCTTTCAGCAGCATATATATACGGACTTATATGTTCAAACGTATCCACGACACTGGCGACAGTTGGCTCATTCGATACGATATGGGACTATGAGAACGATCCTATAGTCTTACTGATGGTATGGTACAATCCTTTGGACGAGAAGCGTAAATTTACTGATGGTGTGAAAGGTTTTAGCATATCATTAATGTAATGTGGAGCTAAACCATTCAGAGATTTATACGTATAATAAGAACAATTTTATAGATGATGCGTTGACTGCAGGGGAGCCAATTTTAATTGTTTCATTGATGGAGTAATATGATCGTATTTTTTGCTCCCTGTCACCGGATCAACGAGCAGCACAGTTTTGCACATTCTGTAACCGATCAATAAGAAATTTAGGCAATCCGTATAATAAAGAATTACAATTATCCAGTTTCGATGTAATATAGCCTAAGCATGAACTAAAGTTTGGATATCTGACGTTGATAAATACTCTTTTATTCTTCTTATTTTTCTCAAAAGGAAAAAACAGTTTTTGCAAATATTGGTTAACATGTTTATCCATATTCTGTACATGTGCTGGTCGAAAGTTACACCTTGCATGTTGAAATCTTGAATTAGATACTTCTATATATTCTATAGCAGTCTGCGCATAAACGATTTCGTGCATTGCATGATTACTAGTAATTCGGTCTTGTCCCCATTCAATTTCAATTTAGTTTTGACCATCCACAGATCAATCTCTTTCACACACATTTCAATTTATTTATTTATTTACAAGTTTCGCCAAACATAACAGACATAAATTAGACTAGACAAAATATGCATACAACACAGGCAGGGATTGGCCACAGAGGCAATCTCCAATAACGGGTTCCCATACATAATTCTACATGAAATAAATGTACATGATAAAACAAATTCCATAGGCTATTTGATTGTCAACAACATGACCTCACTGATAGGCTATGAAGAGACCGAGTTGTGTGGCACTTGACGCACACTGTTTCGAATGTTTTTGGATTGTCCGGGTTGTAAATATATTCTAAAAAGTTAAAGTAATAATTAAGTAATGAGTTTTTAAAGTACACTAGTAATCTTGAAGTGTCTGCACGAATATCGCTAGGGAGAACGTTCCAAACGCTAGGCACTCTCACGTAAAAATTATTCTTATAGCTAACCGTTCTGCATCTGGATACATTGAGAAGAATGCCATTATCAGAGTCGGCATTTCTTGCCGTATTTCGGATAGCTGTTCGTATTGATATATTGATATCATTGCTTAGAATACACTTGTAAAGATAAACTAAGTCTAAATATTCGTGCCAATAGCAGACTGGGAGAATACCAATAGCCATAGTCGTTCCTTGTATGTAGTGACTGTTCTATAGGGGAGGGAAAGGATAAATTTCGTCGCTCGGCGTTGGACTCGTTCTATTGTCAGTATGTCGGATACAGTTTCGAGGTGCCCATACCAGGCTGGCATAACCCAGCTTGCTGCGAACCAATGAGAGGTCTCCAAAGTCCTCGAACGTTGTGTCTACAACCAACTCATATCACACATTTCCACTCAACTCCACCATTTACAATTCGGTTTCCTCCGAGGCAAGAATTGCAGAATGATCTGAATGATCTCGTTAATTGGTGTACAACCTGGAAGATGGACTTAAATCAATCGAAATGTGGAATAATGAACATCACAAGAAGTCGCGGACCAATCACAACAAAATACAAACTTCTGGATAATCCTCTGAAGTCATTAACCTAGGGATTGTTGTCACGAAAGATCTCAAGTGGAAGAAACAAGTCGAAGATATCTCATTAAAAGCAAACTCGATGCTCGGCTTTATTCGTCGAACTGCACTGGTCACGCATAACATCCATGTAAGGAAGGTCTTAGACCAAGGACAATAGAGATATTGGTCAGTAGTTTGATACCTCTTCAGCTGGATCTTTCTTTGGGATTGGGATTATGTTGGAAAGTTTCCACTCGTACGGAAGTTTACCTAAGGATAAACTTTTGTTAAACAGAACGCATAACGACGAACAAACACTGGACGCACAGTTCTTGAGGAGTTTTGTTGGTATTTTGTCAGGTCCGGTCGCTTTGTTTTCATCAAGATAATAATAATAATAATAATAATAACAATAATTGCATTTATAGAGCGCAATATTTCATTTATATATGTTCACATGCGCATAACAAAATTATTTAGAAGAGTTAATACAAGAAAAAGTATAAAAATTAATAAAACTATTTTATGTTCAATGTTAAATTATTATCTTACAAATATGCTTTCTTAAATAAATATGTCTTTAAAAGTCTTTTAAAATTTTCAACAGAACTAGCTCTCCGGATGTGTGGAGACTGGAGGTAGGGAATTGCAAAGGGTAGGTGCTGCAGAAACAAATGCGCGATCACCTAAAATGGCCAAGGTCTTCACAGAAGGTGGTTGAAGTAGAAGTTCTTGGTTCGATCTAATGTTGTTACATGAAATGGGCTTGATGGTAATAAGTTCAATTATGTAATCAGGTGCGAGTCCTTGCAATGCCTTAAATACTATTAGTAACAGTTTGAAGTCTATTCTAGACTTTACCGGTAGCCAGTGCAGATTATATAGAGTCTGAGTGATATGGTCAAAGCGTGGAGTATTGTATATTAATCTAGCTGCGGCATTTTGAACACGCTGGAGTTTGTGTACATGAATTGATGGTAAACCATAAAGAAGACTGTTACAATAGTCGAATCGACTTATTACCAACGAATTGACCAATATTTTCACAGCTTCATAGGTAAGAAACTTCCTTATCCGTCTAATGTTAAACAGATGGAAGAAAGCTTCACATGAACACTTGCCTATATTGGTTTCAAGTTTCATCTGAGAGTCCAACCAGAATCCCAAATTCTTTGCCTTGTCAGTCGAGTAGATTGGGTTATCACCGACCCTCAGAGAACTAAAGTTCACTTTCACTAGTTACTGTCGAGTTCCAATAATTAAAAATTCTGTTTTACCATCATTAATCTTTAGTTTATCTGAGAGCATTCAATCCTTTATATCATCAATGCACTGTTCTAAGGCAGTAACTGCAGCAAGTTGATCACACATCAAATCTGGCTTGAACGAGACATAAAGCTGTGTATCGTCAGCAAATGCATGAGCATCAGGTAGGTGTTTTTCCACAATGTTGAACAATTTACTGACATATAGAACAAAACAACAAGGGTCCAAGACATGATCCCTGAGGGACTCCACATCCTACAACAAAATGTCTAGATCGTTAACCGAAATAAACTGAGAACGTTTGCTGAGATATGAAGTAAACCAATCCAGAACTTGGCCCTTTATTCCAAATTCGTGATTCAGTCTGCCAAGAGGATCTCGTGATCGACGGTATCAAATGCAGAACTGAGATCAAGCATTACTAATAAGGTGACATGTTGACGATTCATATTCATCATGATATCATTTGTTACACGTAATCCTGTTAACTACACCTGAGCTCACTCATTCTGTGGGCTCCACAACTTTCTGGACGATTCCCTGTTCCCCAAGGTCGTTCAGATGATGTTTCAGTGGTTGTCGGCCTCTGGTGTTCTTCTAGGTGCATGTATTTGTTCTGGCTTGATCGAGTCATCAGTTTCTAGATGTAGCGGTCCCCAAGACCTTCGAACACATCTGGATATTTTCTCAGTATCTCTTCTGTGGTCAGCTCGCTCGTACGTTGATTATCTAACACTCGAACGTCATTCTCCTTAGGTAGTATGTCCTCGTAGTTGACTTGTATTAGAGCTTTCAGAACTTTTCCAAGCTATGAGATTGCATAAAAGAGACAAATACCACGCATTTTTGGGCTACTATGGTTAAAAGTGGGGGTTTTTTCGTTAAAAGGAAAAATTTAAAAACAATGATCGTGTTGCCATGACTAACATGATGCGGCAACGCGAGCCTGCGTTCAATGTTGGCGTAAGTTAGCATACTTCATGTTAAAACAATGTTTATAGGAAAATAAAGGTGTTGTTGCATGCATGTATTTCTAGTTAAAATAATATTCACGGTTAAAATATCAATATATAGTTACCATCATTGGAGCGATCATCAGGTATTGAGACAGAAATAATGGATGTTATGAACGCAACAACCAAACCAACAACCACAAATCTGAGGTAGAGGTGTGCAAATCCGATCCGATCGGATTCGTTCGGATTTCGGAACAAAAATATTCATTTCGGATTGGATCGGATTGATAAAGTTGTTTCGTAGTCGGATCGGATCGGACTTCGATATTCGAAATAAAATGAATTAATTATATAAATAATTATTATTTGGTTATTTCCACTTTAATGAGAAATTTATTTTATTAAAGGATCCTTCGGATCGGAATTCTTTATCAAAACTCGGATCAGATTCGGATTAGACAATTTCGGATCGGATTGGATTTTAAACATTAGCCAATTGTCGGATTATAAACGTCCAATCCGATCCGATGCACACCTCTATTCTGAGGTGTCTGAGTTCAGATCATTACAGTTAGGAAAGGACATTTCATCGTCGTTGCCATCAGAAGATTTGAAGACAGAGTAGGAGTATTGGTTTAGTATATTGCAATATCGGATGGGTTGTTGGCTGAAGTCATTCCACCGTCAGGTTGAGACCAAGTCATTTTGTTGGGTATGTTCGAGTGGTTGGAAACCGACTTGAAAGCTGACCAGAACATCTTCATGGCTAACATGACGCGGCAACGCGAGCCTGCGTTGAATGTTGGCGTAAGTTAGCATACTTCATGTTAAAACAATGTTTATAGGAAAATAAAGGTGTTGTTGCATGCATGTATTTCTAGTTAAAATAATATTCACGGTTAAAATATCAATATATAGTTACCATCATTGGAGCGATCATCAGGTATTGCGACGGAAATAATGGATGCTATGAACGCAACAACCAAACCAACAACGACAGTTTTCTTTCGACCAAATCTGTGAATATTAAAAGAAAAGTACAATTTGTAATTATATGAAGCTCAGTCATGGTTCGCATGGTGGGTTACTTTATGTACATGCATCGGTGGGTTACTTTAATGCAAGGGGAACGATGGGGTCAGTGGAAATATAGTGGTTTGATGAACGTGCATTGCTTATTATTCAAAAATTATATTTAATTCGATTCCATACGTTCAAAAGTGCAAAATTAGCCCCAAGCTCAGACGTCTTACACTTGGTCATGAATGAATGATGAACGCATAAATTACAGTGTAATGAATTAATTAATGACGAATGAACTTAATTCGAAAAGGGGAAATTTTTCAATGTAACACAGTACTTTTACTTTTGCCAATGGTTTGTACTTAAGAGAAGTCGTCATTTTTCGATCATTTTTAGCTTCACTATAGGAGAGTTCTGACTTATACCCATCGTTAGATGGAACGTTATGAACAAGTACTCAGACCATGCACATCACGACAGAAAGTGACTCATTTTACCGATCAGAGGGAGCTAATTGTTTTGAGCAACATTTTGATAAAATTGTGCAAAAGGATCCTTTCGAATTCGTGAAAAAAGCAAAACAGTTATTGTGTCGGTTGTAGCTGCACGTCTGTTGTATGCAGTAGCTGCACGTTTTTGAACTTTAACAAATCATCAACCAGTTCGTTCCTTGTACATATATGATTAAAAAAATAGAATTTTATGGTATCAAAAACACTGCTCTCCGCTGGTTCACCTCATATCTTAGTCATAGAATACAAGTATGCAAAGTTGGGGTAACAATTTCAAAAAGTGAGAAAATCACAACAGGTGTGCCGCAGGGATCAAATCTTGGTCCCCTTCTGTTTTTGGGATCAAATCTTGGTTCCCCTTCTCTACATTAACGATTTGCCGAATTGTCTTGACTCTTCAGTCCCAGCACTTTTTGTTGATGATACTAATCTTACTGTAAATGGCTCTACCACATGTGACATACAGGAAAAGTTGGAAAATGATTTAAATAATGTTCACATGTGGCTATTAGCCAATAAGTTAACCCTAAATGTTAATAAAACTGAGTATATGTTAATTGGATCAAGACAAAGGCAGTCCCAAATTAGTACTGAACCAATTCTATCAATAGGATCTGAATGCATCAAACGTGTTTCGTCTACCAAAACGCTTGGCGTTATAGTAGATGAATGCATCACCTGGAAAGACCACATTGATAAGGTAGCAAAAAAAGCCTCGAAAGGGATTGGAATACTGAGACGATCTAAAGACTTACTTGATAAAGATACTCTTAAAACTATTTATAGCGGGTTTTTTTTACCGCATTTTGACTATTGTGCGTTGGTATGGGATAATTGTTCCAAAACCTTGCAAAACAAACTACAAAAGCTACAAAATAAAGCAGGTCGAATAATCACATGCAAGTGATTGCTACGAAACGCACTCTGATGCCGTCAAAACCAAACTCGGTTGGGACACCTTACAGGAAAGGAGAGAGAAACAACTAGAAACTCTAATGATACAAATAATGAAAGGAAATTCAATTGATTACCTCCGGGAGTTTTTACTATCTCTTCTAATCAAACGTATCAATTAAGAAGTAACAACCACGTTCTCTACTTGCCTAAACCCAACACCAACGCTTTAAAGCGTAGCTTTAGTTACAAAGGTGCTGCAGCTTGGAACGATATTGAACTTCACAGAAAGATTTGAAATGAATAAATTTTATAAGATCACTTTTTTAACATTTTTAACATTATACTTTTAAATTGTGTACATATTTTCTATTTTAGTCCTATTTTAAATACACGGCCATCTGAAAATCAACCTTTTTATTTTTTCAAAAATTTATCATAACTTTTAGATACTTTAGGGCTATTGTTGAGATGTTACCGTGTGTAAATAATTGTAAATAAATAAAGGAACTATTTGTTCACCGAATAGTAATTTTATTGCTTTCCCTATTATATATATATATATATATATATATATATATATATATATATATATATATATATATATATATATATATATATATATATATATATATGTATATATATAGTTAAATTTACTATAGCTAATGAAATGATGACGTAACGCATGCAACGAAATATCACGGGGAGAAGTTGCTACATTTGGGAATTTTAATCTGATGCTGCGTATAAAAGGCGCGCGTGTCAAGGTTAGGTTATTCTACCGAAGTCAGTCAGGAGCAACACTTGTATACTTTCTTCCAAAGTTTTTTCAGGTATTGTGTGTTTCCTTTTATCTTATTTATCCTCAAGAAACATGTCGGGTTTCATTCCTAATGTTTTGGTATTTGGTCATTCTTTTGTGCGTCGCTTAAACGACGATTTAAACAACGGTTTTGATTCCCGTGCCAAACAAAATTTTAACCTGGCCAATTCAGGCGTGTACGTATCTTTGAAGGGCACGGGCGGTCGAACTGTAGACAAAGTGTTTAATGATATTTCCTTTCTCAAAAGCTACAAACCGGATATCGTCGCTTTGGAAATAGGGACGAACGATTTGTCAAACCTTTCCGGAGGTGGTCGGTTCGCGGATAGACGATCTCGTACGCTATATAATAATAATAATAATAATAATAATAGTCTTTATTAATCAATACTCGAAACACACGTCCGAGTTTACATGGAATTATAAGAATATAGTCTATTTTACATTAATTATTTACATCAATAATTTAATAAAACTAGTAAAATTCTACAATATTGTTAAAAATTATTAAAATGTATCATACACTAGATAAAATTGAAGAGACATCTATTTACAAAAGATTTTTTAAATCTTTCAGCTCTTACTGAGGGCAGCTCAAAGTCATGTCCCCTTTGCCTTAAAGTTCGATTTAATTTATTTGGTAAAAGTTCTCTTAGTGCATTATTTTCATCATCTAATATTTTTTTCCATAATCTCTTGTCTCTCTTATTAATTATTTCTCTAAAATTAGATTTCTCTGTTACATACCCATTACGGTATGCACGATTTATGAACTTATCAATCTGACTAATGTATTTAGTGTAAGATGCTCCTCCCCAAAGTTCAGTTCCGAAAGTGAATAATGACATTATTAAACTCTGAAAGAGAAGTTCTAACTGCTTTGTTGTAAAACCATAATATTTACACACACGTAAGATGTACATTCGTCCACTCGTTTTTTTAAGCATCTCTTCGAACTGTATGTCCCAATTTTTCGGTATTTCCTCAAGGGTAATTCCAAGTATCTTGAGCCATGTTTTCCGTTTGATGGACGGAATGCAACTGGGTAGAGGTATAGATGTTCTCCCACGAACAATCATTTCGTATGTTTTATTCATATTCAGCACCATTCGATTTTCATCCGACCATAATTTCATATTTTCTACCTCTTCAGCACTTGTATCATCCTCATCATAGCCCGGGGCTTCTATTGTTATATCATCAGCGAATTTACAGAGTTCATTGATTGGATTGACTGGTTTAATGTCATTTACCATTATTGAAAATAGTATCGGGCCTAGAACAGTCCCCTGAGGCACGCCACGATTAATTTTCAAGAACTCGGTTGTGATGCCATCAACTGTTACTCTCTGTTTGCGATCTTTTAAGAAATCTATCAACCAATTTATGATGTACGGGTTAAAAGGCAATTTCTTAACTTTTCCAAATAGTATGTCGTGTGGAACACTGTCAAACGCCTTGCTAAAGTCAAATGATAGTACTCTCACATATTTTACACCATTATCCAACCCTTTCAACCACGTATGTTGACATTTAACTAAAGCCATCGTTGAATTATGTCCCACTTTATATGCGTATTGGTCAGAATCGATTGAGTGATATATAACATCTGCGATCTCATTTTTGTATATACATCTCTCAAATAACCTCATTATGATGTCTGTTAGTGAGATAGGTCTCAGTTCAGAACTTGAGTTGATAACATTTTCTTTTGGTATTGGAACTATATTCGCTCTCTTCCATATTTCAGGGACTTTTCCAACTTTCACAGATACGTTAAATATTTTTGTTATAGCTGGAGCTAATTCAGCTGCGAATGTCTTCCAGAACCAATGTGGTAGATCGTCCGGGCCAGATGATGAACGCTTCTGTTTTCTTAGAAAGTTATAGACAATATCGACAGAAAGAAACGGAATTCTAGTTCCCTCTGGAATTTCTAGTAACTGAGGGGCTGAATAATTAGGGTCAGTGTTAATAGTTTGAAAGTAGGCATTTATAACATTCGGATCAATCAGAGAGCTAACAGGTGCAGAATTTTTCTCTTTCCTGCCAGTAATGTTATTAACATTATTCCACCATTTCTTTGTTCCAGTTTTATGATTTAGGTTCTCATTTTGAACAGCATTAAGTTGATTGGCGCGAATTAGTGTGTTAATTTGATTTTGTAGACGAAAAGTAGATTCTTCATCACCTACGCCTATAGCTTTCTTCCTTTTTTTTCAACAATACGAGAGGGGACATAAATGGTGGATCGCGTGACGAGGTTCGGACTTTTATCAGTGGGAAATTGTTCTCGAATCTCGGCCAGAGACTTTCATAAAGTTGTTTAACCATTTCATCAGGGGCTTGGTCATATATTGTTATCTTGGACCAATCCACATTCTCTAGTTCTCTTAGCATGTTTAATTTTCTATGTTCTCTCACATCCCTAAAGAATGAATTTGTTCTTTTTGCTTTTATGTTTCTCGAGTATGCAATAATCATATTATGATCAGTTCTTACCAAACTTTTCTTAACTTTTATTTCCTTCTAGTAGTGAGGAGCATTTGTGACAAAAACATCTAAGATATTGTTACCTCTTGTAGATGATCTAACCAACTGTGCAAAAGATAATTGATTAAGTAGGTCGCGAATATTCAATCTGTTTATATCTCCAGTAATAATCATCTTCGTATTAGGGTTTTCCGATAATAACTGCTCGCATGAGTCCATTAGGAATTCTATTAAATCGTCTGCATTATAATTATGGTCGGGAGGATGGTATA